TTTTCATAAAACCAAAAGAAAAACAAAATAGTTTAATGGTATTTTATTTTTTTTTTATTTAATTTAGCACAGCTTTTAAAACATTTTACTTACGATTTATTTACACTACCTGCGCACGTATTTTTTATTCGCTGTTTTTTAATTTTGTTTTGTTAAAAAACGCGGAATCCAGTTCAGAATTTGATTTTTTTTTTTCTTATTTTAGTTTCATGTGCGTTACCGTTTTATAATGCATTCTTACACTGTTCACTACACAAGTTAGAGGTAATATTGTGTTTCATTGGTAATTCTGCTTTTTTGCTATTTGCTTCACAACATTGTTCGCTCACTTACAATGTAAATGAACGCAAGTGTAAACAACACAAATTTGTTACGTCTGCGAATTTTTTTTTTTTTTCGGTACCTAAAAAATGTTATAAAACCGCAAAATAAAGGCAAAAATATATTCAAAATTCATTTTAACAATTCGACACCGTTAGAAACTAAATTGTATTTATGTATTTAAAGAATTGAGTAAAAAAATGAGTATAGCAATTTTTTTTTTTAAATATTCATTTATTTTTATTTAATTTTGAGTAGGAGTAACAAGAAAATTGTTATTAATTTGTGAACATTTTTTATATAATTGAATTGAATACGAAAAAAGAACAGGTTTCATATTTAGTTTGAAAATAAAATTCATAAATTTGCGCTTTTATTGGTAAGAGTACAATATACCAAAAAAAAATAAATATACTTAAATTCTTAGAAGTTTAAGTTGGGTATCGATATTATTAAATTAATTCGGAATTTTATGATGTTTTTCAAAAGGAGGTAGGTTTTTATTACTTTTGTTTTAAAATTTAATTAAGGGACTCAACTAAGTTCAAAAAGAACGAATATCAGTAAATTGTATGGATATTGCTATAAAATATACATACATACAAACCCATACTATAAAACTTTGATTTAGATAAGAGATCAACCACGTTATTGTATTGATTGGTTGGTATTAAATTTAAACTAGATTTTTTACTTACAAACATGTATATTTCAACTAATACTAAATCATATTCGAATTTAAATAGAATATTCAAAATATAATAGAACCCCGGAGCCGTGTAGTGAGAAACAAAACTAATTAATTAATAATGTCTAATTCTAAGTAAATGAAAATTAAAAGAAAACTATTAAAAAATTTCGAATTTTCGCATAAATATTTTGGATAAAATGAAGAAATTTTCGAAATTCTATGATCTATTCTTGAAATAAAGACCCAAGTATTTGTTAATCTCAAAGCTATATTAATGTTTCATTAAATTATTTTCGCTTAGGTAACACAAATACTATATTACAGTATATAATATACAATTGTATATAAAAAAGAATTGCAAACCTTAAATCATCTTGAATTTAGTATCAAGTAAACAAAATATACTTCATTTTTAAGGTCCTCAGTGTATACATAAACATATGCAATTGACTAAAAAGTTTGTATATTATAAAATTTTTATTATAGTTACATTTACTTATTGGATTAATTTGCTTCGATTATTTTCCATACATTTAGCGTAGGCTTATCATAACATACAAATCCTTTCATACTTGTATATATTAAGTATTAGCATGCAATATATTTCTTCAAGTATTATAACCCTAAATATTTTTAAGAGTTAGGTCTTGACTACATGAATAATATGAGCATAATATTTACGATATATTCACTTAAACCAGTATGCATTATTAAATTTTAATAAATTATACAGATTTTGTTTTTGTCTAACCTGTACATAATTGAGTACTGAATTAAAATAAATAAATTTCAGATCTGAGAATAACTTTTATTAAGCATTCCATTAAAATTCCATATACATATATGATAGTATACCTTACCTACATAATACTTGTACTAGATAAATAATATTGTACGAATTGATGCAGGTGGTTAAACCAGTGGTTGCCTGAAGGTATGAGTCCAACGAAAATAACAAAAAAAATGCTAAAATTTCATTTTTTTTGTGTGCACATACTAATTACTTTTCTGTATATGACAACAAAAAAACCTTATAATTTCTATTTAAGTTTTTTTTTAAATTAATTTTTACTTTTATTAACAAATTATATTGCAATTTTTTTCTAAAATTAACCATTATAAAATTTCATATGATTTCATAATGATCATTATGAACTAAAGGTGGTTTTATTTTATCCCTCATATATTGCTTTGTTCACCAAAATTTCAATTGCAACTCTCTTCAGTGCGAGTATATAACAATATGGTATATTATTGTAGTGCATTGTAGCAATGCAGCATATTATTTTCACTTCTCATCTCATATTAAATTGAGAGTTACTCATATTAATTTCAAACTCTCGCTTTATATTGAGTAAAAAATCATGTAAGTGTTTTGTAATTGTTCATAGTTCGTATTTTGTGTGTATATCTATATATTACATATATTATTAAATAAATATGCAAATGTAATCTTTTTTTTTATTGTTATTATCTATTAAGTGAAAGTGTCACTTAAACTTTCTTCAAAAAAGCCAAATATGATTTTTCTACTTTTTTTGTGTACTTTAAACAAAATACACTTGGGTTTCTTTCATTTAAATTTTTTTTGGTTTGTGAATTTTTCGAAAGTGTAAAGGTTTTTGTAAGATTTGTATAGTAACACTGAATATTCAATAAAAATAATTTTAGTATTTTCTATGGTATTTTTATGTAAAACTTTTGTATATAAACCTTTTATGTAAATTTTACAAGGGTTATAAGTATGATGGTTTTTTATTTTATTAAGCAATTAAAAATTTTAAAATATTTTTTACAAACGCATTTTAACCAAATTGTAACCTTTGTTAAACAATCTGGTCACTTTAAATACGAAAGCAAAGTTTACAATTGAAAAAATAAGAAAAGTGTAAAAAATATAATTGTCATACAATTTTTACCTTTCAAGTCATTTCTTTTTTGGTTTTCAAATATTTAGTTATGCAACTTGCTGAAGAAAAATATAGATACGAGTACATATGTGCATTAAAGGTTGATTTAAGTAAACTTAAGTGAAATAAATTCAAGAAGCAGGTTAAATAGAAATTGTTATGGAAATTGTTCAAATAATTAAAACCATCATTCCATAATGATTTTAAAAAAAAAAAATTATATATTTTCGTAAATAAAATACAACATTAACATTTATTAGCAGGATGGCATGTGCATAGAAATAATGGTGTCTTATAATTTTTGGAGTTTATTAGGCCGATATTAATTTTTCTTTGCCATTTTTAACAACAATTTTAGGTTGATTTAAAATTTACCAAGAAAATTATTGCTGTCTTTACTAATAAAATTTTTGTGATATTCATGGATATCAAATATTAATTGCATACTTTTAGGATAAATTGTTTTATATCGCGTTAAAGAGTAATTTTAAGAATAAAATACATTTTTTTTTATTGCTTTATTCGAATTTTAATATTTAAATAAAGTTTTCACTGATTCATTTGATGTTTTTTGTAACTTTTTTAAAATTCATGAAAATATATTGAATTATAATTTGTGTAATATTGAATTACACCAGGGCCTTAATTTTAATCACTTCATTTTACATCTTAATTTTCATATCAATTTATTGTTCTATTATAGCATCTCTTTCCTGATTTATATCCAATCAGAATTATAGAACAAAACAGCAAAATTTTTTAGCAATATAATCGATGTAAGTTTGTGCAATTAAAAACTCTTACCAAAATTAAATTAACAAAAAGAATATAAATACGAGTATGTATGGTCTGTACCCTTATATGGAGTAGAATCATGGATGCAAAATTTTGAAAATTTTCGACATAGAAAGAGTAACAAATCTCAAAGTTCTAAGAAGACTAAATACGGATAGACAAATGCATCTAACAATTAAACGCAGAAAAATAAGTCGTTTTGGCTGCATAATAAGAGGTCCTAAATATGTGCTACTTGAATTAATTGTTGAAGAAAAAGTTGAAGGTAAGACAAACATCGGAAAGAAACAAATGCCATGACTCAGAAATATTCGAACAGGTATAAGTACGCTATAGGAGAATTAATCTACAATGCCAGATGCAGAGAGGAGTGTGCGAACAGTATTGCAAGTCTATGATAATAACATGTGAAAAAAGAAGTGATTCTTGCTCTAACATTTATATAATATGTTTCCATATTTTTGAAATTATTATTCTAATTTTCGTATATGGCCAGGAATTTATCTTCAATATAAAAAATTATTGTTTTAATAAATTCAATTTAAAACTTTCATAAAAAAACCTTTAATTTTCAATCAATTTCAAGTTTAATTTTTCAGAAAAAGTTTTCGTTTTGTATATTCATTTATTATTTAATTATTTTATTTATTGAATTATATAATACTTAAAATAAATTATAGCTATATGAATGGAGATTCGGTTTTAAAAAAATAATTTAGTAATTATTTTGAGAATTTCATTAATTATTTTATAAAACATAAATTAGTTTATGTTTATTAATTTACAATCATGCTTTCAAATTAGTAATCAAAATATTTTTATATTTCCAACCCAATGTTTTGCTTGTACACATACATATACATACAATCCGTATGTTACTCATTCTTTGTTCAGAATCGGTATTACATATGGTAATTATTACCGGAATAACTTGATTTCTTTATTAATAATTCTTAACAATATATATGTATACAAAAATTTAAAATAATTTTTAAAAATCACAATTAATTTTACAATCATAAATTTTAATAGTTTTACCATTCTTAATATTGCAATATGCAATTTCATGCATTAAAAAATTCATATAAAGAAATAAACTAATTATTAAATGTTGCGAGATTTTTTTTATAATATTATTTGAAAGATTTTATGATGCGAATAAATCAATAATAATTAAGTTGAAAAATAAATATGCCTTTTATTTTTAATTAAAATTCTTTTCAATACGGATTCTATATGATATCATACAACTACGAATTATTATAGCGTTATCGGAATTACAGTAATTAAGTGCAGTTACACAATAAAATGTATACAACGTATAGATAAAAGCTTGGCAATATTCACAACAAAAATTGTAAATTTGTAACAACACCATAGTTTGCATAATATTTAATAAAAAAATTTTTTATAAGATGTAGATGTGAAATATTAAAAATAGTTTTTAATTAAATTCAAAACAATTTTCAAAGCAAATTTCAATATATTCCCATATAACACATTTTACTGATTATTTAAAGCTCGCTGCATTCAATGCCACAATACGAATGAATTAATTTGAAATTTGAATATAAGAATCAAACATCATAATCCCTGTTGAGTAATTGGTACATAAAATCAACTGAGAGCGCCACAATACCACAACAATCAACTGAGAACAATTTAAAATAATATTATAATGTTCGATACGCAGCAGTTAGTAATATTTAATGCTTCACTTAAGTATTGTTGTAGTAAAATATCATACATGGTGATTAAATGGTGAAATTAATCAATAATTTTTGCTAAAATTTCAATTTTTCAATTTTACTTTTATACATACCGCATAAATTTTTTGTAAATAAATGTTGTAAAATACTACATATGTATATGCATATAAATCAACTTACCTGAAAATAGAATAAAAAAATATGATTATTATTAAAATTTTCATTAAAAAATCAACAATTTATTTTTTATTAAAGAGATCGTAATCATGAATTTATTTTATTTTAATTAATTACAATTGCATATTATTTGTCATATTTCTGTAAATAAGTACATACAGGGTGTTTCACATAAGGTGACAAATAATTTCAGAGATGATTCTTTGATGAATTTCCAGCAACAAATTGTATGAGTCGAAGAGGAGATGCAAATATATTCGTTTTCGAGTTACACCCTGTTAAAAAAAAGGTACCGGACCTTTACTGCATATAATTAATGCTTATAACTTCGGAATCACACAACATAGAGTTTTCATTGGGATCTTGCTTTACAGGCGATTGATTGTTCTTTATTTTTGGTTTCACAATTAATTTGATTTGAGCCATAGTTTTCGAGATAGAGCTCGTTAAAATCAGAATTTTTGTTTTTTTTTTTTTTTTTAAAAACTCAAAATTTCGAAAAGTTTTTATAGGAATCTCTAAAATAGCAATTGCACTCCATGCACTTATAGAATTGTCATTTACAAAACGGCAAGGACCATCTCTTAAGCAATAGTTTCTAATGGACTAAAATTTTTTTATATTTAGTTATCCTAAATAAAACTAATTTATTCTTTTCAGGTTAGTATTCCCAAAAAATGATTTTTCCACTAAAAATTTTTTTTATAAATTTAATAAAATTTAATTGAATTGTTGAAAGAAGCGTCAAATGTTTCATCATGCAAACCCTTGCTTAAAAGCAAAGATTTGCAACTTCTCAATGTCTGCAGCATCATAAAAGCTATTATTATAGAAACAAAATATGGGAAAAAGCCCTACTTGAAACGGAAGCCCATCAATATTTTCTACCAACGAGGTACCCAGCATCCATTACCTTCAAGAAAATAACGGATTATGCCATATTTCCTAAATTACAAATGCATCGATTCCAAGCATCGATTTTAAAATTATTTGAAGAGGAATAGAAACATGATTTTGATTTTGTTATTAAAAATATTTTTTTTACCTTAAGTTAAAGAACAATCATTAATTGAATTTTAATACAATAAAAAACAACTTAAAATAACAATTACAGAAACACTGACAAAAATATCATGTCAATGTAAGAAAGATATCTTACAATAATATTTTTGTTGAACCTGTCTTAAGTCAACTATGCAAGAAATTGCAAGTGATCACTGAATATTCAAGTATAATAAATAGAATTAAGTTCATCCATCTGTTCTATGATTATTGATAATGTCATCCATCTGTTCAGCAGTTGTATGAAGCAATTTCCATTGAGTTAGTATTATTAGTGTCACAATACCTACTAATTAAACCACTACATGTTATATTAGAAATTTAATAATAAAATCAAGCTTGTTAGAAGATCATGTTCAATTTTATTTTGACATATTGGGAAACATTACAGAATCATAGAACTAAAAATAATCTAATTTATCATTAAAAAATTTAAAAATTGTTATTGCAAGCACAAATCAGTACAATGTTCACATTATATTTCTCGGCAAGTTCATAATATTTGTGCAGTGGCAGTAACAGTGACAGATAATTATATTACAACAATGAAAAGTAAAATATTCAATAAAAATTTTTGTATACTTGGACTTGTTTACAATTAGCTCTTATATTAACTAACCCATATTTTGTGTTTTTCTGAAAAGTCCCCAATTAACGCATATAAATTTGACTAAATTTTTTTAGATACTTTTTATTTCAAGTAATTCTGTTATATTTTGAACATGAATTCTTTAACAATTTAGCCAAAGTTTTTTAATAAAATATTTCATTTTTTTATACAGTGGATATAATGGGGGTCAATGATTAAAAATTACACAATATTACAAAAAAATTATGTAACATATTTTTTAAGGTTAATATTCTCAAATGATGCTTTCTATTCATCATTTTTTCTTAATTTGAATATACAAAATTTAAATAAAATTCAATCATCATTAATATGCAAACTTTTACATAATTATAAAAATTATATAAAACCATGAATTTTTAAATATATGAATTCAAATTATGGAGGAAAAGGTTGATTATTGTACGTCATGTAATCTCATTCATATTTATTCAAAATTTTTATGTTAAATTAAAAAAATATAAGAGTTGAATTATATTAAAATGCTGTTAACAGCTCGTAAACACTCAATGACAGTTTTTCTTTTATTTTTTTTTTTAACTGTTGAACTATAAATTTTAATAATAATAGTTAAAAAGAATAATAAAAAATTTTGTCATTGTTAGCATCTTTTTTTTCTGGATAATTTGAAATTTTTATGATCCACTCAAGTACCATATAGTGTAGCGCATAATTTAATGGGAATAAATTTAAAAAAATATTTTTGAGTATGAATAAGTACTCTGATTGTATTCGTGATTTAATCTTTATCATTTAATTAAAAAGAAATACGAGCTTTTTAAAAAAAGATAACAAGATCTTTTAAAATTTGAATTTTGTAATTAATTATTGAGCTTTGTTTTAATATTCAAATACTTTATATCCAATTAAAATTGAATTATTACAACGTAGTATAACCTGCCATTTAGTATTTACATGTAAATTATAAATCTACAAGCAGATAATATATGTATTATTTAGAATTATAAAATGGGAAAAATTATAAACGACACACACCTCAGATGCACCGAAATTTATTGCAGAAATCTTATAAAATAAAAATTTAAGGGCAATACTTTCGAAAGTAATCAACAGTTTTAACAACCAATCCTTGATTATTTAAGAAATAATTTAATTTCATACTTATATATATTTCTGTATATACTTTCTGGAGAGTTTTTATACAAAGCGGGAAGTCACTATTAAGAGAACTAGATCGATAATGGTCGAAAGAAATTTTTTTTTCGTGCTTTGCTTTAAGAATTATTTTTTATTATTACAGACAGAAGAAATTATTTATAAGAACAACTTAATACAATAAAAATATATTATTAAACAAAAATTTTATTTATAAGGTTCACACAGCCTTAACAATTTCAAACAAAATCTTATACTCTACAAAGTGTACGCAATAAGCAAAAAATCGATTTTGACTTGAAAATTTTCTAATCGAATATTCAATTTTGTTTTTTATATTTAAATTATTTGCAACAAAACTTAAAAATTTAACAGTCATTTCTAAAAATATTTAAAAGACTGAGACTAAAACTTAATTTTACAGAATTTTTTACAGATTTTATATATATATGCAGCAATCCCTCGCTTAAAGTCGTTTTTTGGACCGAATATTAATGACTTTAAGTGCAATGAATCCAAGCTATGTTCTTACTTAATTTTTATAAAAAGAAAATTACTTCTTCAACTGCTACCATAATACGAAAACAAAACATTTACTCTGCCATACCAATAGCTCTACAGTGATAGTATTGTGCGAGTAGCATTTTTTGACCCACTTGATATTTTTGAAATTGCAAAAATTCATTCCTTGTTTTCAATGATCGCTTAAGAAATATTAGTGATTTCACATAGAAAATAATTATAAAAATTAATAATTAATGGAATTTCATAATATTAATTTTGTATTTTATGTTTAATAAAATAAAATATATTTAATATGGCGTTGATGTCATTAAAATTAATTTCAGATGTGATGTGGTTTTATAAATAGTTTCTAAATGAAATTTCAAAGCACATATACTTAAACATCATAATTTATTTTTTATCGTTTACTTAAACAAATGATCGTAAAATTTTATTTTATTTTATGTGATTGAATTATAAATATTTTCTTAGACTATAGTTTTAAAATTCATATAAGAAAATCTAAAAGGAAAAACAAAGAAAAATTCCAAGTATTGAAAGTTTTTGCATTCCCAAGTCTTTAGAGTTTGTGGTTTCACATAAAATTTCATGCAAAATCACACTTAAAAGGAAAAATAAAAATTTTCATTTTTTATTTTCATTTTTTCTCTCTTCCATAATCATTTGAACAAAATTTTCTATTAAAGGAATTGCTCTAAGATATAGAAACAAAAAGAAAAATGTGTGAAAAGCTCAAACTATTTGACATGTGGTTAAAATTTTTCTATAAAAACAATAAAAATAAAAAATAAGAAAAATTATTTATAGTAATTTTTATTTTACGAGTGTAATAAAAATTAAAAAAACAACTTTAAATTTAGAAAGTGTTTCTTATATTGGAGTAAAACCACTGCCAGGTCTTTTTTTCTTGTTTATAATTAGTGAAAATTTTAATTAAAATTAATGTTTTTCTTGCCTTACTTATGGGCATTTCAATTTAAAACTAAAAGGATATGATTTATTAGGTTTTCCATGTAACTGCCATTAATAGTTATCCGAAGTGCATAAAATTTTTTTATGTCATTTTCAATTTTTAATAATTTATGGTTTTGTAAGTAAAACAAACTTTGAATGCTTTAATTAGAAAATTGAGTTTAATTTTTATATTAAGATCAAAATCAGAATTTATGTGAATCTTTGAAATTCACTGATTCAATCAGTCAATATCACGAAAAATGCACTAAACTTCAAAGAAAAGAGAATTTTATTCTCTCACATAAATTACGTGTATACGAATTACACAATATCGGCACAATATGGTAAAAATTCGTAGTTCTATGACCCACCTGGACGGAAAAATAAATCTTTAACACAGAGTAAAATGTTCTTTTTCGTTTTGCGTAAAATTTCTTAATTGTCGATGCCCAGTTTTCATATTATTAATACTTAAATTCATATCAATAATATTAAATTGTATAAATTACAAAAATTTCTTAGAATTTAAAAGAAATACTATTGGCGATACTATTGGTGTATAATGTGCTGAAACGTCTAATTTAAAACTAATTTCATAAAAATTTAAATACTTTTCAAAATTTAAAATGATATTTATTGAAAATTTTAAAATGAAAAGCATTTCAAATTATTTCTCCCATTCCTTGACTTCTTTGATTAAACTGTACTTTTACGGTTA